TGTGAGTATTATGTAATTTCTTGAAATTGTATTTGTATTCCCTTTGTGAGGCCTCAGGTGGGGTCCTTTTTAAATCTGTTTGGTATTGCCTGTTTTCTAATAAAATGTTACAAAAAAGGCCCTCCGTAAGCCACAAGAATTATCACAGGCCCCAGCCCTGAGCTGCCCCTCTGAAAGCCAGGACCTCCATGTAGGAAGTGCCTCTGGAGCAGTGAATAAGCCAGCTTACAGGGGAGTCAGCTAGGGAAAGTCCAGTTGGAGAGAGGGGCAGGGAGAGAGAGGAGGCATATATATGAGTGACCCAGAGAGATGGCTGGAAGACATGGCAATGCCAGAGCCCCTGGCACTGCCAGCTCTTCTGCTTGCACCTGTGAGGTGTCTGTCACTGTCAAGGCTTCCACCTAGGTTCTAGTTTGGTTCTGTGGAGACTGCAACTGGCAGGTTCCTTCCAATGACAGGTGGGTGGGGGAGTGCCTGCAATGTGAGTAGTGCCTCTTCAGGGTGTCCCTCAGGCAGCAGACAGAGCTACAGGAGGGGTGGTGAGGCTCCAAAGCATCCTCCACCATGAGGACTTCATTGATTCTCTGCTGGAGGAAACTTCTAGGACAGTGGAGGAAGGAATGCCAGACAGCCCTGGAGAAGGAAGACGACATGGACTCCCAGGAAGGTGGAAGCTGGAAGCTTGTGACATAAGCAGAAGTCTTCATCTCCACCTGCAGCAGTTTGCCTAAAGAACAGGTATGGAGCACTAGCAACAGAGGAGGAGCACGTTCCATTGGCCAGGCCAGGAATCCCCAAGGTTGAGAGGATCAAGACCACTGCCACCAAGATGAAGTGACAGGTGGTGGTGGCTGGAGACTCCCTTCTGCAGGGCATGGAGGCATCCATCTGTGGGCCTGACCTGGTGTTTTGGGGGGTCTGCTGTTTGCCCAGAGCCCAGATCAGAGATGTCACTGAAGGATTGCCAAGACACATCTGGCCCTCTGACCACTACCCCATGCTGCTCATCCATTTGGGCACCACTGGATGACACTGAGCAGATCAAGTGACTACAGGGCTCTGGGTGCAAGAGTGAAGGGGACAAGGTCTAATGTGTTTTCTTCAGTCCTTCCAGTCAGGGGGAACGGCCTAGGCATGAGTGGACACTTCCTGCAAATCACTCCATAGCTATGCAGATGGTGTCACTTTGGCTTCTTAGACCACAGAACGTTGTTCCAAGAAGGATTGCTATGAAGAGACAGGATCCACCTGACAAAGAAAGAAAAGAGTATCTTCACAGACAGGCTTGCTAACCTAATGAGGAGGACTTCAAACTAGGTTCTCTGGGAGATGTGGACCAAAGCCCGTGGGGAAATGGGTGACCTAGAGGAAATGCAAGCAGGAGGGGGCAACTGGGGAGGCCTTCTCATTTTTCCTGAGAAAGTAGGGCAATCAACTAGTTACCTCAGGTGTCTGTACATGAATGGACAGAGCAGGGAAAACAAGCAGGAAGAAAGGGAAGTCCTCACACAGTCACAGAACTATGATGTGATTGGAACAACAGAGACTTGGTGGGAGCTCGCGTGACTGGAGGACTCTCATGGATGGGTACAAACTGTTCAGGAAGCACAGGCAGGGGAGAAGAGGACGAGGAGTATCTAAAAGCCATATGATTGTTCAGAGCTCCAGTATGAAACTGGAAATAGGCCTGTTGAAAGTCTCTGGGTTATGGGGGAAAGCAACAAGGGTGATGTTGTGGTAGCGGTCTACTAGAGACCACCAGGCCAGGAGAATGAGGCTTTCTTCAAACAGCTAGCAGAAGTTTCTATATCACAAGACGTGGTTCTCATGTGGGACTTCAAATTACCCCAAAATCTGCTGGGAGGGCAATACAGTAGTGCACGGGTAATCCAGGAAGTTTTTGGAGAGCACTGGGGACAACTTCCTGATGTTGGAGAGGCCAACTAGGAGCCATACTCTTCTTGACTTGCTGCTCAGAAACAGGGAAGAATTGATGGGAAATGTAGTAGTGGATGGCAACTTGGGCGGCAGTGACCATGAAGCGATTGAGTTCAGGATCCTGAGGAAAGAAAGGAAGAAGAGTAGCAGGGTAAGGACCCTGGACTTCAGAAAAGCAGACTTCCACTTACTCAGGCAACTGATGGGCAGGATCCCCTGGGAGGCTAGTATGAGGGGGAAAGGAGTCCAAGAAAGCTGGCTGTACCTTAAAGAAACCTTTCTGAGGTTGCAGGAATGTGTACGGATACACAGGAAGAGTAACAAGCGTGTCAGAAGACCAGCTTGACCTAGCAGGGAAATTTTCAATGAGCTTAACCACAAAAAGGAAAAACTTTCAAAAAGTAGAAACTTGGCAAACAACTGGGGAGGGGTATAAGAGTATTGCTTGGGCATGCAGGGATGAAATCAGGAAGGCCAAAGTGCAACTGAAGTTTCCGCTAGCAAGGGATGTGAAGGGTTTCTACAAGTATGTCAGCAACAAGAGGAAGATAAGGGAAAATGTAGGTCCCTTACTGAATGGTGGAGGCTACCCAGTGGCAGATAATGCAGAAAGTCTTAAGTACTCAACGCCTTTTTTACATCAGTCTTCACAGGTAAGATCAGCTCCCAGACCACTGTACCTGGCAGCATAGTTTGGGGAGGAGGTGAGCAGCCAACAATGGTGAAAGAACAAGTTAGAGAACTGTTTAGAAAAGCCGGACGTGTACAAGTCCATGGAGCCAGATACAACACACCCAAGGGTGCTGAGGGAGTTGGCCAATGTGATAGGTCCTGGATGACTGGAAAAGGTCAAATATAGTGCCCATCTTTAAGAGAGGAAAGGAAGAGGATCTGGGGAACTACAGATCAATCAGCTTCACCTCAGTCCCTGGAAAAATCATGGAACAGGTCCTCAAGGAGACAGTGATGAGGAACAGCATGGATTCACCAAAGGCAAGTCAGGCCTGACCAACCTGATCGCCTTCTTTGATGAAATGACTAGCTCTGGATGCAGAGAGAGCAGTGGACATGAAATATATCTTGACTTTAGCAAGGCTTTTGATATCATCTCCCACAATATTCTTGCAAGCAAGCTAAGGAAGTACAGGTTGGACTGTAAGATGGATAGAAAGCTGGCTGGATCATCAGGCTCAATGTCTAGTTGGCATCTGGTATCAAGTGGAGTGCCCCAGGGACTGGTCTTGGGGCCAGTTTTATTCACTATCTTCACCAACGATCTGGAAGATGAGATGGAGTGCACCCTCAGCAAGATGACATGAAGCTGGGGGAGTAGTAAATATGCTGGAGGGTAGGGCTAGGATTCAGAGAAACCTACACATATTGAAGGATTAGGCCAAAAGAAATATCATGAATTTCAATAAGGACAAATACAAAGTTCTGCATCTAGGACAGAACTATCCCATGCACCGGTACAGGCTAGGGTCTGACTGGCTAAGCAGCAGCTTTGTAGAAAAGGTCCTGGGGGATACAGTGGACAAGCTGGGTATGAATCAACAGTGCTCCTTTGTTACCAAGAAGGCCAACAGCATTCTGGGCTGCATTAGTAGGAGTGTTGCCAGCAAATGAAGGGAAGTGATACTTCCCCTCTATTCAGCACTGGTGAGGCAACATTTGGAGTGCTATGTTCAGTTTTGGGGCCCCCACTACAGAAAGGATGTGGACAAATTGGAAAGAGTCCAGGGGAGGGCAAAAAAAAAAAAAAAAGCGATTAGGGGGCTGGGGCACATGACTTCTGAGGAGAGGCTGAGGGAACTGGGTTTATTTAGTCTGGAGAAGAGAAGGCTAAGAGGGGATTTAATAGCATCCTTCAGCTACCTGAATGGGGGTTGAAAGAGGTGGTAGATGACAGAACAAGCAACAATGCTCTCAAGCTGCAGCAAGGGAAGTTTAGGTTAGCTATTAGGAAAAACTGTCACTAGGAGGATGATGAAGCACTGGAACAGGTTACCCAGAGAGGTTGTGCAATCTCCATCCTTAAAGGTTTGTAAGACCCAGGTAGACAAAGCATTGGCTGGGATGACATAGTTTGGGTGGTCGTGTTTTGAGCAGGGAGCTGGACAAGAATGACTTCCTGAAGTCCCTTCCAACCCTAATTTTCTATGATTTTAAGTAGGATTTCTGTTCCCTCTCCAGCTCTAGCATTTGTACTGTATACAGTGGTAGAGTGTGGAGACCTAGAATGAAATGTATTTCACTGGTCAGCTCTTTGGGACAGAAACCATTTTTGTGTTCTGGATTTATACAGCACTAGCCCAATAGGTTACCATCTATGACTGAGACTTATAGGCACAAGACTTTACTCATGAGCCAAAACTAAATATCTGTTTTGAAATTTTTAGTTATGAAAACTGAAAACTATTATGTTGACTCCTAACAGCCTCCACGAAGTTCATTTATTTGTCCAATTATTAGCATAGCCTTAAAACAACAGAACCTCTGGGTGCCAGTGCCAGGACAATGAAAAAGCAAAATAAAGATGATGCATTTGGCAGGAATGCCATTTTCCTGTTACAGTTGCTGTGGGCAAGTCTCTCAGTGCTTCACTTTCCACATCTGTAAAGATGCTTTAACTTCTCTCTTTCAAGCCATGAGCTCTTCAGGACAAGGACCTTTTCTCACAAGGTGTGGATAGCACGTACCAGATTGCACCACCCTCCCCACAGTTGCATTTTAACATACAATTCAAATCACTATTTAGATTCTTTCAAGAAAGCCAAGATAATGGTTTGCCCCTGGTATCCATTACAGAGTATTATATTTGCTTAGGTACTAAAGATAAGTTAAAGTCACCATTGTTGCACTACTCTCTTACTCTAGCATGCTATCATGCCCTCTCTCTCACAGCTACTGAGATGCCTCCGAGCATAGCTGATGTTCTTAATAAAATTCCTTTTCATGGTAAAGTTGGCTAAAACAAGCTTAATCCATGTCTCTTCAGAAAAGATTAGGCTTAAAAAAGGTTTAGAATTGCTTTCCCTGGAGTCTCCCCAGACAGTACTTGCCTTTTGTGCTAGAACTATCCATGGGAGTTGGGGTGTGAAGTTTGCAGTGTACATGTCCTGAAATCATATTCCAAACAATGATTTCACCATCATAACTGGAAGTAGCAAGAAAGGTAGGTGGACACTGAGCAACACAGAGAATATCTTCCTTGTGGCCGTGGTTCTAAATGAAAATTGAAAGATCCTGTCAAGAGACATTGCTGCTACTTTCTCATTTTTCACCAGGACAGAACCCTAGATGTAAGGACCCTCATTTCTCCAGCCTAGTTTTGTAGTAGCACTGGGTATGAATATCAAGACAACTGAGATTCTTGACTTTTGGACAATATAAAAGGAAAGAGCCTGCTCATAGGTACTTTCCATCCCCTTGTGAGGGTCTACAACTCATGCAGCTTTAATCATTGCCACTCTGTGACACACAGATCTGTCTCCCTACCTAGTTCAGACTCTTCCTGCATCTCTGATACCTCCTTGTGGATGGTGTGGAAATTGTTTTCCCAAATCTGGCATAGTTAACTACTTCTTAGTAAACTCTAATGGTCTATGTTGAGCCCTATGTACCAAGCATCTATTCAACTTCTTGTAATACAGATGAATTGAGGTGGATTCTTACTATGTCATCCTGCCAATAGGGCTGCGGTTTCTGAAAATGATGCAGATCATCTGCTGAATCCTGTATCAGGGAACACAGAAAAAGGGGAGAGGCTTGAGTATTTTCTATACGTTCTCAGGTCAGAAGGGATCTGCTTTTCTCCTGAGGCTTCCAATGAAAGAAGTGTACATGGCACACGAGTCACATGTGCAAAGGCTAAAAGGCCCTAACCTGCAAGTGAGGTTGACTGGAGAACATAAATTCTATTTTCTGAAAAGTTTAAAGGGTTGGGAATAAGTTTTTGTTCTAACCTGAGAATGAAACAGACCTTGTGGAAAAGCGTGCAAGAGAAACACCAAGCCACCCTAGAAAAGAGCCACTACATATTGCACTCAGCTGGGATGTGGCAGAGTCTGCCCCAAATCAGGCTAGTCCTGCATTTCCTACCTCCCAGATGTGTGTCCAAATCACTTGGCTAGTCTAAGCCTATCTGCTCTCGCTCACTCTCTTCCCTTAATGCAAGATTTTCCCACCCCCCAGTTCCATCCCTAGATCTAAAAGAAACCCTTTTCCAATAACTTTATCCAAGGACTAGCATATACAAGATGCAGAAAACACCATTCAGGGCAGGGGCCAGGACCTTGTACCCCATTTCTTCCAGGGCAATACCAAATAATAGAGCCACAGACACTTTGCTCTACACCTGGCTCCATATCCCTTTTCTTGGTTACCCAGTGAGCCAGCTTCAACAAGAAGAATGGAGGGTGCAGTTGTCTCAGCCTACATCATATTCTGGTGGTTAGAGCAGTTTGCTGGGAAGTGGAAGATGTAGGTTCAAACTCACTCTGGAAAACGGAGTGGTGGGGGACAGAAATAGAACTTGGGCCTCCCACTTCCTGCGGAAGTAACTGAAGTGCTGGATTCTTGGGTTGAAAGGCAGGAAGGGACCTTCTTCTCCCTTCTCCAAGCAGCTTCCGTACCTGTTTTTTCCTCAGCCCACACTTCTACGACTTACACATAGTTATGCACCTACTTTGGCAAAATATGGCTGTGTGTGTTCTCTGGTGATCTAATGGAGCTCTTGCAAGCATGCCCAGAAGGAACAATCTAAGGCACATAACTGAGAGACAATGCACAGCTACAATTGGACACCTTTAGGCAAAATAGGATGTGTTTAAAAGGATATTTAAAAGAATCATTTTATAAAATAAACCATCTATTTCAGCTCTAATCTTTCTACTTACAAAATACATACTTATTCTTCTGTCCCATCCAACAGCTATGATATACCTAGAAGAATAAAGTGTTCAGTTTGATATGATCTATATGTTCTATACTAAACATTTTTTTTAAATGAGAGATGACAGATTGTGTTTAAATGTTTTTGTTCTAAAACATTAAGACCACAGGAAAGTTAAACCTAACTGGCTGAAGAGTGTAAATAATCCACTGAGAATGGTTACTATGGAATCACATCATTATTGAGCACAATACAGTGCTTTTCATTTGATGTTGCACAGAGGCAAGCACAGAGGTCCTGGTTTCTAAATGGTGCTGCAACAAAGAATTTAATACGGAGCACTGCATATTGAGTATCAGAACTATGGCACAGATTATTTAGATGTTAGATCATTATCTGACTCATCAAATTACGAGCTGCAAACTAGGGAAAGATGCAGTAGCAGAGGACAGTAAAAGGCTCCTATACACGTGCAGTGAGGGTGCTCCGATGTGCTGTAATCGCAGCGCGTTAGAGCTGACTTGATTAATCAAGTCTGCTGGAGTGTGGTAATTACTGCATTCCAGCCAACTCTAGCATCATGTGCATCAGAATCCCCCTACTGAAAAATGGTGGTGAGGGTGCTTGAACTAAAGCTCATTCATTGAGCTTAATTAAAGTGCCCTGCTGCCATTTTTCAGCACAGAGATGCCAATACATGTGACACTCCAGGTGCTTTAATTAAACACAGCTCTCAGAATGTTTACAGATATGCTCTGGGAGGCGTGGGACATTTTAATGAGCATGGATCACAGAGCCACGCTAATTAAAGTGCCTGGTGCATCACACATATCAGCATTCCTGTGTTGAAAAATGTTGGTGGGGGTGCTTGAACTAGAGCTCAAACAAGCTGGAGTCTGCTGGAGCATGGTAATTATAACGCATTGGAGCAGCCTCCCTGTATGTGTATAGGAGTCCTCGGAGCTGTGCTAATTAAAGTGCCCTCCTCCCCCGCCTCCCAGAGCACATCTATAAATGCCCAAATGTAACATCACTATTAAGTATAAATCCTTCTCAGGGCTCACTTTATCATCTCTAAGGATTCAAAATAAAGGTAGAGTAAGTCTGAAGACTTGGTTCCAAGCCCTTTCACCTTTCAGCAAGCATTTTTCCCTAATGTCCTCGATATCCTCTTGGTTTCCTGTTCAGTGCCCTTGAAGGAAATTCCCCCTGGGTCTGACACGTTCCCTCATTCCTTAATGCAGTCTCTAGCAAGCCATCCCAGATGCTAAGCCCAGTAATCCCTTCCCATCAGGTGCCTTGTCTGAAGATTCTCAGCATATCTGTGCTATGCATTACCTGGGTGCTACATTACAGGGCCCCACTGGCTGCCTATAGCTGTTTGTTTGCACCAGGTTTATTTTTCAGGCTGCAGTATATGCATGTCTGTGTGCAGCTCAGGCCTGACTAATGCTCCAAAAATAAGTTCCTGCAGGAGAGAGGTGGCACTTGCAGTTTCACTTCCCACCCAATCCATCCATCCACTCCCTATGACAAGGTGCACATCAAGCCATGAAGCCACTTACTTGTTTCTATTCACCTCCACGTAGGTACAGTCACAAATTTCATCACATTTGCCTTCTGCAGGGGAAAATAAACCAATGTACATTCTCTTAAATCCTTTGTGTGATATTTTTTGCAGTCTCCCAATATTTTAATTCACCTTGCTTACCCCTTTTCAAGGAATGCAGACAGTGTCCATTGTTGTAATTCCATACTTTCAAGCAGCCATCTCTTCCTCCAGTAACTAACCTAACAGAGGGTTATAATTCAACACCTTTTTTCCACAAGTGCCAACAATCATACATAGAAATCCTTACCCACACATACAAACATACCTTCTTCCATTGTCATCAAAGGTCATACAGGTGATAGCAGCACTTCCATGAGCATCACAAAACTCAAACAAATGCTTTCCTGTTGCAAAATCCCACACTTTAACTACCTTTATTAACAAGCAAACAAACAAACAGTGATTAGAGAAGCACCTGAAAAAGTAGCATAAATTTCCCATTTCACCCATCCATACCCAGCCTTTCCCAACTCATCCTGGGGTTTTAGATGAAAAGTAGAACTGCATGCAGTACAAAAGGAACACATTGCTTAGTTTCCTTCACAGAGATCTTTAACTTTTGCACACGAGCCTTGTACAGCCAAATACCACTATGATGGGTACCAAAGGCTGGATTCATAAGAACTTTGTACTTGAAGACCTAATGAGGCATGTAAGTCCAACATCTAGGCGCTACTGCCACCCACAAAGCCTTCGCATAAAGCTTAAGGTACCCGAAAATGCTCAGTGTCCAAGTGTCTGATGGCAAAGTCCCAGAGGCACCTAAGTGTCTATTGCTAGACATGTGCACAACTGCTGAAGTCCTGCTTGTTTCCACTGAGATTCACTTACTGTACTCATTCTAATCTAAACCAAGTTTCCCCACCCACCTTCCATTTAGCACAGGGAGAAAAAAACCTCATCTTAGATTCAAGTACAAGCCAGGCAAGCAGTTGCTGTGACTCCAGACAGGGCTAAGGTGGCTCATGTCACAGGCAGGGGGTGCAGGGAGTGCGGGGAGCACAGGGAAAAAGCATGGAGAAAGGGGGTGCAGAGCAAGGGAAGCGCAGGGAAGGGGTATGGGGAAGGGATGCAGGATATGGCAGCTCTGGCCCTGAACCTAACCAAAGCTGGAGCCAGAGCTGCCGCTACTGCCTGGCCCAGCTGGGTACTCAGTGACCATGGCAGAGCTAGAGTAGCTGCAAAGGTAAACAGCAAGGGGGAAGGAGAGCAGGCATCAGAGGGGAAGTCACTGTGGGGAGGGGAAGGACAGGCAGCAGGGGGGCCAATAGCCTATACCCCAGCAGCTGCTTTCTCTGTGGCAAAGGTGGGGGGATGAATTTAAGAAGCCCCTCCAATAAGTAGATTCTAGACACAGAAAAAATTTAACAAATATATATGTTTCCATGTCTAAAATACAATAATAATTGAGAGGAGTGGGGCAGGGTGCTTCTTAAATTCAGTACCAGGCAGGTCAACATCTGTCACTTGCAGGAACTAATCCAGTACATGTGCTCAGAGAGCATCTAACCATATTGAAGGCAGCTACAGAAAGTGTGGATGATCCCAGTTTAGCCCCCAAGACTAATGGTTAGGACACTCATCTGGTATAGGAGACCCAGGTTCAAGACACTTCTCTACCCGAGTGGATTTGAACCAACAATTCCCAGGTGACTGAGGAGGGTCTCCCACTTCCTCCTATTGCATCTTTTTTCCTTTGTACTACACACTTAAGTATTCACTGGAGCAGGAACGGGAACTCCCACCTCACTGGGAGTCTTCTAATCATAGCGGTGTCTCTCTCTCTCACCATCTGATCTAAAGTATACAGAACTGTTCCATGAAAGAATGAGCCAATGCCTCCTTGCTTTTTGAAAGGAATAGGAGCCTCAGCTCAAACCAAAGATCATGGCTGTGAACTGCAAGTGGAACGGGGCATCTCCTTGCAATCTAGAATTAGGTACTTAAGTCCCTGAGAGGGACAGTGCTCCAACCCAACCCCTTCCATCAGCTTCTGCATTTTCTTCCTGCATTATACAGAGGAGCCCAGGCATCTAACTTCTGGTTGTGACTTCTACCACATGCCTCCAAATCAGGCATCGAAACATTCAGCTTTGTGGCACTTAAGTCCCTCTTGCATATCTATGGTTAAGATCTAGGCTGTAGACATGGTCAGCGACTGACAGATTACACTGAGTGGTGCAGCCTACGAAACTAGCAAAAGCTTGAGTTATAAATTATATGTACTTAAGCTGGTACGCAATCAATAAGCTTGCATTTAAATCATAAGCAGTAGTCTAGGCAAGTCAAATAAGTATTGGTTCATCAAGCCACTAATATTAGACTAGGCCAAGAACAAATAACTGCATTTTGGAAAAGCATGTAACAGCAGCTAGAAGTGACAATTGATGTTTTGCCTTTTGATAACAAATGAGTTGTATGTAGTCAGCTGGAATACTATCAAAATAATAATGTGTCTGTCTTAACCTGTTTTATTTTGTAACTGGCCTACTCAGCAAAGTAAAAGAAGCAGAACATGGCAAGTAGTATTCCCAGATGGTGAGGGAAAGAGATAAGAGGTCCTCTCACCCAGAACTGTACTTTTCTCAAGGACACAAACCCCAGCTAATTCGCATCCTCCCAGACCACAGGAAAACTGGTTCAGTCCAGTTCTCAAAGTCTCAGTGAAACAAATATTTTAATAAGACCAATTAGAATATTTATTTAAATAACCCACATATACACATTGTGTGTAAATAGGGGGAACCTGGGGAAGACATCAGCAAATGTAAGAATCTGCTGCCAGCCTGCATGCCAGCTTCCTCCCCACTCCTGTATTTCCTCAGCCAGCATAGGTGAGAATCTGTATTATGCTGTTGCAGGTAGCTAGATAGGCATAGAGTAGGGTTGCCAACCCTCCCGGATTGGCCAGGAGTCTACTGAAATTGGCATCCATCTCCCAGTGACTATTGAAAGCAATCCAGGAGACTGATACTGTGAATTGGTTTAACAGTACAATTAATTACATTACTTCATATTCTGGGAAAAAAATCTCCTGGAATAGCTTCTGTCAGAGTTAACAACCCTAGCATAGAGACAAGTGCTTATTCTCATGCTTTGGGATATAAAAATCAATAAAAGGTTGGGTTATAGAAGCATCTCTGCCTTTTTCCAGCTTAGGTGTTAATAATCCTTTACCTGGTAAAAGGGAATGGAGGATCATTGGGAAGATGTTATTGCATCTTGAGTTGATATACAAAAAAGGTAATCATTAAGGAAATTGAATTCTGTGTCTGAGCTTGCAAAGGCCTTATCAAGACAGGCTATAGTCCTGTCTCTCAAAAGACCAAACAATACTGTGTTTTTGGTAACAAAGAAGCCCAATTGTCTGTGTCCTGGACAACGTGGTTGTTCAGCTAAGGTTATATAGCACTATCTGATGCAGTTGCCTGGTTTTATTATTGCTGGTTAAGACAAAGTCTTAGGCCTCATTAGGATGACTGGAAAGATTTAACTGCTGAAACTTCCTGAAAACTTAGAAGAGCTGGGTGGATTGGGAGTTACCAAATGGAACTGAGTGAGCAAAACCAAAGACTTTACGCTTGGTATAGAATAAGACAGTATTAGAATGTGTTTATTCTGAAATGAACAAAACACATGTAGCCTGGTATAAAACAAAATTATATTTGAATGGAATGCATTTAAATGAAGTGAAGAGACATGCATAAATCAATATTTGATTATGCATATGTGGCTTTATATGACTGAATCATGTTGTGAATGACAAGAAAATGAAATGTATAAATACCTGATTTATGTAAGCTGACTTTGGAAATAATGTATTCCTGTGTTATTCCCCACTGCCAGAAGTCTTATCAGGTACTTGACAGTGATTATAGGCTCTTTTAGTAACTAACTCATGACTTGTACTTTTTGTGCTCAAATCTACAGACAAAAGGTTGTGCTGGCTAGTACAATTATCACTTTAAACCATGCCCAAATATACCCATTGTTTGGGAGAGCTAAAAAGAATCATCAGCTCCAAAAAGTTGCAGCACATACTGGGAAAAAGGTTAAGTAATATATGTAAGTTCAAGACTATATATGATGATATAGTTGGGGATGGTCCTTCTTTGAGCAGGGGGCTGGACTAGATCAGTGTTTCTCAACCTGTGGGTTGTGACCCAAAAGTAGGTTACAAGAACATTTGAAATTATCACACACCACAGGTTTCCCCTTGCAGGCTGACAGCCTTCCAGGAACTGCTTGGAGGCAGGGGGGACCACGTGCATCTGCATGCATACACGCATGAGGCTGGCATACAGCCAGGCAGGGTGCATGAAGGTAAGTCTATGGGGAGTGGGGATTGAAAGTCCAGGGCCATGCCTTGGAAGAGACAGTGTGTGTGTGTGGATGTGTGCATGGAGGGAGGGGGTGCCTGCCAGTGCTGGAGGAAGGTACCTGGGCACTGGGTCTGTGAAAGGGTGATAGGGGAGGCACCTGTTTCTCCAGCAGGGGAACAGGGCAGGGGAGCCCTTTAGGGGCAGCAAGGAGCTGCATGGTTAGGCCAGTACCCATGGTCGCAGGGGTGGGGCGGCTGGCAGACGCTGCCCAGGGGGATAGGGGTCCCGGCCTGGCCACCTGGTGTAGCGCAAGAGCCCCAGCCCAAGGCAGGGGATACCGCAGGCCTCCACTCCTCCTCCCTCCAGCCCATGCCAGGACCAGACTTGCTCTGCCACTGCCTGCATGACCCAGAGCCACTGCAGCTCCTGCACTCCAGCCTGGGAGGGACAGAGGGTTGGGGGGGGGGGGGGGGGGGGG